TGGGCATCCAGCCCAGGGCCAGGGAGATGGTGGGGTGAGCCAGGGTGTCCAGTGGGACACCGGCTGTGGGTGCCCCGGCTGAGCTCTGGCTGGCTGACCCCACCCCTGCCTCCAGGTGTCCTCGTACGGGGGCACTCTCCGCTACCAGCTGCACTCAGAGACCCAGCGAGGGGACGTCTTCATCCCCACGGAGAGCCGGCCAGACGTGGTGCTGCAGGTGGGTACTATGGCTGAGCAGGGTGAGGGTCAGCCCAAGGCCGGCCCTCACCACACCTGTCTGCCTCCCCAGGGCAACCAGATGCGTGTCACCTTCCTAGAGGCTGCCTACCCGCTGCCCGGCCACCCTCACCATGGACAGCTGCACTTGGTGGAGGTGGGTGTGCCCAGACTCCAGGGGGATACTGGGTCCAGGGCCCCGGGCGAGGGAGGGTGGGCCTCAGCTACACTACAGCGTCCCTGGCCTGGTGGTCGTCGGACTTCTCACCACGCGGTTCTCACGGGTGGAGTCCAGCAGCCGGCCCCCCGGGCCCTGCTCCTGCCTGTCTTTGCCTTACCCCCGCCCCTTGCTGCTCTCCACGTGCTGACCAGACACCTAGCTGCCCCCGAGTGTGGCTCCCGCCTTATTGAACCCCAACGATTACATTTCATCCAGATTGCCGACTGTTCCCATTGTGGGTAGTGTTTCTGTGCCTAAACTTAAAATGTTTTCTCAAATCAGCGACCCTACAGGACAGGGTAACACTATCCTTTTGGGTTTCTGAAACTTTAAATCTTTACAGGAATTAGTAACCTCATCTTTCTCCCCTGAGGAGCAGCCAATGGCTTTGAGCTGTTGACCTTGTAGTTGGCAGTTCAGTGAGTAGCACACCACACCACCAGGGCTCATCATCGATGTGTGTGTGTCCATATATGCATATGGGTGTGTGTGCATAAGCAGATGTGTGTCCACACTGGAGTATGTAAGTGGTGTGAGGTAGGGGTCAGGGTTTTCTCTGCCCCGTAATCTGTTTCTCTGCCATCCATGTGGCACCACTACTCTCTTCCACCCTCCGTGTGAGGGGTGACTACCCCTGGGGTCACCCATTGAAGTCCTCTCCTGGCCTGCAGGGGAACTTCCGGCACACTGAGACGCACAACGCCGTGTCCCGGGAGGAGCTCATGATGGTGCTGGCCGGCCTGGAGCAGCTGCAGATCCGAGCCCTCTTCTCCCGGATCTCCTCGGCTGTCTCCCTGCAGCGCGTGGTACTGGAGGTCGCTGAGGTGGGGGGCTGCGGGCCTCCAGCCAGCAGCGTAGAGCTGTGCATGTGCCCTGCCAACTACCGTGGGGATTCATGCCAGGTAAGGTCAGGCCAGGTGGGGCGAGGCTGACACCCCTCGACCCCCTCGCTTCTCCTTCCTCCACTGGTGCCTGCCCCCCACTCGCCTACTGCTGATGTGCTCACCCACTCAATCTTGCCAGCCGTGGTCGTTCTTACCTTCTTGGGCCCTCTGTCCCCCTCGGCACCATGCACAGACTTCCTCTCCATGTGTCTATCTACTGCCCAGAGTGGCGCCTGCTGCTGGGTTTAGTGAGGGTGAATGGCTGCCAAGCGAGGGGTTCTAAGGAGATGGGAGGCCCAGCCCATGGGATGTGGGGGCACTGTGTGGCTGTGGGGATGACCGAGGGCTGTGGCCAGCGCCATAGACAGGACCAGGAGTTAAAAGTGCCCTTGTCCCCCACTGTTGCCTCTGTCCTGCTCACCGGCCGCCCTTCTGACCCCAGGAGTGTGCCCCTGGCTACTACCGTGACACCAAGGGCCTCTTTCTGGGCCGGTGTGTGCCCTGCCAGTGCCACGGCCACTCAGACCGCTGCCTCCCCGGCTCGGGCGTCTGCGTGGTAAGAGGGCCCTGGGAGCTGCCCTCGGTGGTCACGGGAGGGTGGAGGTCGGGGAGAAGGTGGTCCCCTCAGTGCCCCATGCCCCCAGGGCTGTCAGCACAACACGGAGGGTGACCACTGTGAACGCTGCCGCCCTGGCTTTGTGAGCAGCAGCCCTGAGGGACCTGGAGCCCCCTGCACCAGCTGCCCCTGCCCACTGGCCGTGCCCTCCAACAAGTGAGTGTCAGCCCCCAGGAGCGACCGGGCCTCACCGGGGTCTGGATGCCCCCTTCAAAGGTCCTGGGGGCAGGTACACATACAGCTGGGGGTAGAGGGGGCTCAGTGGGGGCCCTGCACACCTGGTGCCCAGGAGGGTGGCAAGCAGGGTTCCAGCTGGGTGGGGAAGGCCTGCACACCTGGTGCCCAGAAGGGTGGTTAGCAGGGTCCCAGCTGCCCTGTACTTGCAGCTTTGCCACCGGCTGTGTCCTGCGGGGCGGCCGTTCCCAGTGCCTTTGTAAACCCGGCTACGCGGGCGCCTCCTGTGAGCGGTGAGTGGGGACCAGGGCTTGGTGGGGCCCACGCTGGTGCCTGGCTGGGGGCTAATGCCACACCCCGTCTCTCCCCCAGCTGCGCGCCCGGCTTCTTCGGGAACCCGCTGGTGCTGGGCAGCTCATGCCAGCCCTGCGACTGCAGCGGCAATGGGGACCCCAACATGCTCTTCAAGGACTGCGACCCGCTCACGGGGGCCTGCCGCGGCTGTCTGCGCCACACCACCGGGCCGCACTGCGAGACCTGCGCCCCCGGCTTCTACGGCAACGCCCTGCTGCCGGGCAACTGCTCCCGTAGGCGCGGTGGGCAGAGGGCAGGGCTCCGGGGCGGGGCAGCAGTGGGACCCTGAGGAGAGCCAAGCCGTGCTCCCTGCTTCTGCAGGATGCGACTGCGCCCTGTGCGGGACGGAGACCTGCGACCCCCGCAGTGGGCGCTGCCTGTGTAAGCCGGGCGTGGGCGGGAGGCGCTGCGACCGCTGCCAGGTAGGCCCCGCCGCCCAGGAGCAGAGGGATTGGAGTGGGTGGGGCACCGGGGCCAGGACAGAACTTCTGAGTGTTGCCCCCACCCCCAGGAAGGACACTTCGGCTTCGAGGGCTGTGGGGGCTGCCGCCCGTGTGCCTGCGGACCAGCTGCTGAGGGCCCCGAGTGCCACCCCCAGACCGGGCAGTGCCGCTGCTCGCCGGGCGCCGGGGGGCCCCAATGCCAAGAGTGTGCCCCTGGCCACTGGGGGGTCCCTGAGCAGGGCTGCAAGCGTGAGTGGGGTAGAAGAGGGGGTAGAGAGGCCAGTGGGAGAAGGGGGGGGCCAAGGGGGTGGGGCAGGGAGCAAACACCCTGAACCCCGGCCCCCCTCTCACAGGCTGCCAGTGCCTGAGGGGTCACTGTGACGTGCACACGGGCCGATGCTCCTGCCCCCCGGGGCTCAGCGGGGAGCGCTGTGACGCCTGCAGCCACCAGCACCAGGTGCCTGTGCCCAGCAGGCCCGGGAGCCCCGGCGTCCACTGCGAAGGTCTGAGCTCAGGACCCACCCCAGCCCCTCTGACCCCATGCTGGCCTCTGTGCAGTGACCCCTGACCCCAGCACTTCCCCAAGGGACCTCTATTAATGCTGACCCTTCCAGGGAACCCGGGCCCACCCATCTGCCGATCCCACCCCTCCTCATGGCTGTCCCCCATCAGCTGTGCTCACCCCAGTGGCCACGGGAGGACACTGTGGCCCCCATCCCACTGTGGCTTCTGCCAGCCTACCACCTGACCCTGTGCCAATCCCAGGAGTCTGTCCATTGGTCCTTGGCCCCAGACTCTCATCCTGGCTGACCTTGGGACCCCTAGCTGACCTCATGGTCCTATATCCCTGTTCTCTTGACCCCGCTGGTTCCTTCCCCTGCCTGGACTCTACTCTCTACTCTCGGCCCACTCTGATCGCTGCCTCCCCCCGCCCCCCCGCAGTGTGTGACCACTGTGTGGTGCTACTGCTGGACGACCTGGAGCAGGCTGGCTCCCTCCTCCCCGCCATCCGGGGGCAGCTGCACGGCCTCAATGCCAGCTCAGCTGCCTGGGCCCGGCTGCACGGCCTCCACGCCTCCATGGCCAGTCTCCAGGTCTGTGGCCTGCATGTGGCCCTCCCCAGACCCTCCCTGCCCTTCTCCCCAGCTAGGCTCTCACCCCTAAACCCTCCCGCCCCTCCCCTAGGGCCAGCTCCGGAGTCCCCCGGGGCCCCGCCATGAGGCCACACGGCAGCTGGAGACGCTGGAGCAGCAGCTTGGGCACCTGGAGCAGGACACGCAGCAGCTGGGCAGCCAGGTGGGTCCAGACCTCAGGGGACCCCCGTGGGTTTCTCTGCCCTCGGGCTTCATGGGGATTCACGGGCTCCCCTGCAGGTCCCCAGAGAACATCCCTGGGGAAGCTCCCCACCACCCTACCTTCAGTCCTGAGCTCCTGCAGAGCCCCTGTTCTGGGCTGAGAGCTGAAAGCCCCTTCTGTGCACAGGCCTCAGGAGCCCGGGGACAGGCAGGCCAGATCCTGGACAGCACCCAGGCCACCCACCACCGGACACAGACGCTGCTGGCCACCATCCAAGCAGTGGCTAGAACCCTGAGTGGTAGGGGCTGCTGGGTCTCGGGACAGCTGGGTGGGGTCCCGACACGCAGACAGAGCCGGGCCTCTGGTGATGGGAGCCGATGCTGCTCGGGTGGCGTGGGCAGCAGTCTCCACGGCAGTCAACCCTTAACCCAAGGCTCTAAGGCTCACAGGGGAAGCCCTTGTTTAGCTGTGTCCACCTGTCTAAGGCCTGGTGGTTATTGGGAGGGTCTGAGGCTCTATCCTCCTGCCCACCTGCAGAGCTCATGGACCAGATGGACCGCCTGTCCCCAGCCAACGCCTCTGCCCCATCGGGCGAGCAGGTGGGGCGGACACTGGCCGAAGTGCATCGTCTGCTGCGGGAGATGCGGGCCCGGGACCTGGGGGCTCCACGGACAGCAGCGGAGACTGAGCTGGACGAGGCCCAGAGGGGTGAGTGGATGGCGGGCAGGGGTGGGCCCAGGGCCCAGGCCGGGGACCGGAACAGTGACCCAAGCTGGTGTTCTGGGCAGTGCTGAGCCAAGTACGGGAGCAGATGGGCGGCCCCTGGGAAGAGAACCAGATGCTGACCGCCCGTGCCCGAGACCAGCTGGCCCAGCTTGAGGCCGGCCTCATGGACCTGCGGGAGGCCCTCAACAGGGCGGTGGGCACCACCCTGGAAGCCGAGGGGCTCAACAGCCGCAACCTGGAGCGCCTGGAGGAGGCCCTGGTGAGGTGGGGGCGGGTCAGGAGCACCCCGCACCCCGTCTCCCTTCACCAGCCCATACCCACCACCTTACCCCACCACCCAGCCCTCCCATCACCCCTCCCCTCCTTCCCTTCCCCATCACCCTCCCCTGCTCCTCACCTGCCCCACCCTTCCTCTATCCCCTGGCACCCCTCCTTTACCCACCCTGCCATCTCTCCCTGCCTTATGCCATCACCCCCTTCCCCGGCACCCCTGCCCTCTTTCCTGCCCCTCCCGTGTCCTCTCCCGACCCTCACCCTTGCACACAACATCTCTGAGCTCAGCAGCGGAAGCAGGAGCTGTCCGAGAACAACGCCACGCTGCAGGCCACCCTGCAGGCTGCCTCCAACACCCTGGCCAGCATCTCCGGTCTCCTGCGGAGCATGGACGAAGCTAAGGAGGTGCACACCCACCCCTGCTGCTCCACAGCTCCCCAGGGCCACAAACAGGGCTCCTGTGAGGGGCAGACCAGGTGGGTGAGTGGTGGGGCGACCGGTGCCCACTGAGCCTCCTGGTCCCTCCCGCTTGCCCAGGAGTATGAGCGCCTGGCTGCTGGCCTGGATGGGGCTCGGACACCACTGCTGGAGAAGATGCGAGCCTTCTCCCCAGCCAGCAGCAAGGTGGATGTGGTGGAAGCCGCCGAAGCCCATGCACAGCGGCTGGACCAGCTGGCCAACAACCTGTCCAGGTGCGCAGGCTCAGGGTGGAGGGTTAGGTCCCACCTGGGAAGAAGCTGGCAGGGGTCCCAGCACTGCAGAAAGGCTGTCTGGATTAGCACTAGGTGGCAGGAAGGGCCCTGCAGGGGAGTCACCAGGCACCAGCTATAAGGGGTCGGAGGTTGGCACGAGGATTCTGAAGCATACACCCTCACATTCACTCACATACACTCAATCACAGTCACTCACACTCATACACATGCACATGCCTGTACTCACACAGGCTCACATGCACATCACACACATGTGCACTCACACGCACACCTTCTGCCACCCCCTGCCCTTCTCGGCCACAGCATCATCCTTGGCATCAACCAGGACCAGGTCATCCAGAGGGCCATCGAGGCGTCCAACGCCTACTCCAGCATCCTGAAGGCCGTGCAAGCCGCCGAGCTCGCCGCCCGGCAAGCCCTGCTGGAGGCCAGCCACGCCTGGGCGGTAAGTCACAGCCACAGAGCTCCCTGCCGCTGGGCCGGGGCCCTGCCGGGTGACCCCACCTGTCCTGTGTCTGTAGACAGTGGTGCAGAAGGGCCTGGCAGCTCGAGCCCGAGAGTTGCTGGCCAATAGCAGTGGCCTGGAGGAGGCGAGCCTGGGAGAGCAAAGGCACTTGCACCGCAGTGAGTGCGGGGCCCTGGGGGGTCAGGCGGGGGCTCAGCAGGGCATCAGAGTCCCACAGTGAGTGCGGGGCCCTGGGGGGGTCAGG